ACATAACTGCTGGTCTGTTTGCTTATGTATCTACAGATTAATGTTGTTGAATTTTAAAAATGAATACAACGTAAATGCATACATTTGGGAACCTCTTTGTATGGTTATTCTGCAGCTGTCTCTATTAAACAAAAAGCATAAAGACCTTGAAAAAAACAGAGTTATATATTTAATTCTTGGTTAATTTTCTTGGTGGTCAACCAAAGGTCTTAGGTTAAGCGTGACTTGTTATCCGCTTTTAAGGACGTCTCTCTAAAGGGAATTGATAACTGAAAGGGAAATAAATTATATAGATACCTCAAATGGTAGTGTTAGAAACAGGTTGGTTTTAATCAAACACAAATTAGAACAGTACTATCCAGGTCTCTCAAGTTAACATAGTGGAATCTATACATTATTGTTCAAATCAGAATCAGAAATACTTTAATAATCCCAGAGGGAAATTACTTTTGTTACACGCTCCAGTTACAGTTTTATATATATATATATATATATAATTTCTGTTTGAAAGATGACAAAGAGTAAAAAGAACCATCATGACCTTTTGGTATTTAAGATTTTTCTTTTTCCCAGATTTCTTTATATATCAGTTCAGCTTGTAAAACAACACATTCATTAAGCAACTCATTATGACAGAACCCCATAGCTAATAGGTTTAAATTTCTCAGTTTGAAATTGATTTTTGATGTTATTTCATCCCCACCACCCTGCAAGGATTAGGTACCATGACCTATGTCGATTTTTGTGGTAGATATTTGGTTTGTTCTATAGAGTTCTATCGTGTCTCTATTCCTACTTATTTTCCTTTTTACAGGTAGTTTTTATGCTTAGACCTTCCTGTCATGATCTCCACACATCTGCATCCGACTCTTTGGTCTCACCAGGTACCTGTGCCTGTCTATTGTGTTAACTGACCATACTCTCTGTAACATTTAACAATGTAATATTGTCAGTTAAGATGTTTCATAAATAATTGTTTCTCTGGAATCCACCCTTGGGGGAGGCGTTCTGTCATGATCTTGGCACTGATGACTGACTTAATTACTCATTTCATTCACCTGTCCAATTCTGCCCGAGTGCTTCAGGAGCTGGAGGCAGTAGTACAGTAGAAGCCCAACAACAACTGATGGGTGAAGCCCAGGCAACAGGCCCCTAATGCTCCAGCATCAGATCCTTTCCACCAGGGTAAAAATCCCATTTCGATGCTAAGATCCTATCCAGATCCGTCTGACATCACTGCTTCTAAGCAAACACGAATGATGCGCATTCCATAACTAGATATAGTGACTTAATATCACATCTTTTTTTTTATCACTGCTGCTTATCAAGGCTGAACTATAAAAATGAAATTGTCTAGAAAGCTGTTCTAAACAAAATTTCTTTTTGTTTACACTTGTGTAAAGAAAATGACAAAATAAATC